GCGTCCGCAGAGCTGACCCGCTTAGATAAAGTGCCCTCCTGTGGCCACTAGCCAGGCAGGCCCATAACCCACCTGGCTGGGCCAGGAACTAGACTTGGGGCGCTGCCCGGGTAAAGGGGCATGAGAGCTGGCACTCAGACTGCCCCACCCGCCGGCTCTTTGGCCACTGCCCCTGAGACCCGCTGCTCCGCAGCCACTTCCCAGCTCTCCCCACTAAGACCGGGGTCCTGGGACCCCACTGTGAGTGAATCGGCCACTCCCTCACTCGCAGCAGCTTGAGGAACGCCCGGCCCAGAGCCTGCAGTGACCGTGTTGCTGAGGCCACACTGGTTGGAGGACTGCTGTGTGGGGACAGAGGGTGGAGCCCCTCACGGTGATGGCTCAGTGACCTGGAGCCCTGGCCTCCCTGCCCTCTGTCCGCCCTCCTGCTCGGTGTTGGGACATTTGCTGGGAAGGAGCCCTGCCGGGAAACACAGCTCCAGGTGTGGGCAGCCCTCCATGCCGACAGCCCTTCACTCCATGAGCCCTGAACTCAGCCTGCCTATCAACACCTGGGGATGCTGGCCCAGCGAGCTCCTCTCCAGGCCTCCCTGCCTCCTCCATGCCTAGGAGCAGGAGGCTGGTCTCCGCCCCCGCCCCTTCGCAGTGTCCAGGTCAGGATGGGGAGATGAACCCCAGCCATTCCCCTGCCCAAACTCAGGACGCGCCTCCCCTCCTGAAGGCCTCCTCACACCAGATCCCAGCCCTCCTCAACCCGGCACTGAGGAGACCCCTTCGCCCTACCCTGGCACCTGCCGGTCGGAGCCCCAGCCTCCTCTCCCTCTGACCTGGCATCCAGCCCCAGCCCTCTCCTCCCCGAGACCCGGGAGTCCACGTCCCTGCCCCTAACCCCCAGTCCCCGAATCTGGGCCTCTGGTCCCCTCCTTTCCTTTCGGAAGTAAGACCTGTAGGAGTCCGGCCCGCCCTCTCTACAGATCCCAAGAGCCCTGGCTCAGCCCGGGTCCTCCTGGAGACCCAGACACTCCGAATCCCAGCCCTTCCTCGTCTGGCCCTCCGGATCCTCGGCCGCTGCTCCCGCCCTCCGGGGTCCCCGCAGTCTCACCTCACCGGCCGCAGGCTCGGGCTGCACCGGAGGCGACAGCTGC